TAATCACTAAAACCGATGCGATCAATTTCTAGCGTTTTTCATAAAATTAGTTATGGGGGGTAATAAATATTTAAAAAAAATATTTCTACCATGACTTTCATAAAAAAAAACATATTTATAATAATTTCGATCATCTGTGAATAGTTTCTGAAAGTTTCATTAACATCCGATAATTATTTCTATTTTTGCACGATTTTTCAAATTAATGTGTCATACCAAAAAAACGTGCTAAAAATTGTCTATGTTATTTACTAGTTCCGCTGATACAAATAGAAAAAAGGTTTTTTTAATCAAAATTTAGAATGTTCTAAAAAGAAGGAAAATTTTTTAAAATAATTAAAAAAAAAACTTTGGTCTTTCCTCTTAATAATAACATAAGCATTTAGACAATAAAATTTAGTTTTCGGCAAGTTTGGCGTCTTTTTCATCAAGCTATGCTCTTTTTTTAGCGATTTCGTGGAGGTACCTATCAATACACAATGGATTACTGAGTGTGAAAGAATAAGAAAAAAAAAACATTATTAAGGAGCAAGAACAATACGAGAGTTCCACAAGCAAGAATTGAGAAAGAAGCAATTGTTAGTATAGAACTTATGGTTGCATGTAGCCAGCTCAATTGTAAATTGATGAGACCTTGTTGCTAATCTAGCAAGAAGCCAGAAGAGAGTTTCACAGGTGAGAAAAGAAACTGTTAGCAAAGAAGTTACAGTTACTAGCGAATGAAACTGTAATGGCATCCCTGGAGACAGGGTTAAGGCAAAAAGTATTTGCCAACTGCTGACTTGACTAATTTTTTTTTAATCATTTCACCCCAAGCAAGGCAATAAAGCCACTAATACACAATGGATTACTGAGTGTGAAAGAATAAGAAAAAGAAAACATTATCAAAGAGCCAGAACAATAAAAGAAGAGAAATCAAGAAAACAGTAGATAATGATTGACATTGCATTTAAATTTTTGAATACCAAAGTTACCTGGAAAGCAAGAAGCCGGGAGAGACTTCCACAGGTGAGAAAAACTATTAACAAAGAAGTTACGGCTATGATAACTTAATGTTTGATTAATGAGTTGACAGTCATCATATATAAAAAGTTTAGAATTCATTGTTTCCACATCTTGTGTTTTCCCTCAACACATAATTATAACCAACACTCACATTTACATCCCTTCATCTTACGAATATATAATTCCAACAACAATACTTTAGTCCAATCAAGTCCTTCTAGAAGACAAAACACATTACACAGAATTTTTCCACTTTTCCATTTAACTGCCTAAAATTGTCCTGATATATATATATAGATAGATAGATAGAGAGACCTCTGCTAAAAATAAAAAATATTTATAGTAATAAGAAAGTGTCAGATTTAAAAAATCCATTGAAAAATTATTTTATTCATATTTTCTTTTTACAGATATATTTTATTTATATCTGAAGTTTTTTTGCACACATATATATATATATATATGTGTGTGTGTTCTTTTTAAACAAAATTGTTTGGATGAATACTTGTTGCTTAAATATAAGTTATTCAATATATATATATATATATATATATATATATATATAAAATGCCAGGTTTTATACATTCTTGTACTTTTATATTTTCTAATGCTATGCAAATTATGGTAAATGGTCAAAGAAACGTTATCGCCCTTTATCCTGGTTTCATATTGACTTTATTTATTTTGCGTTATTTGGTAAGAATCAGCTCGAAAATGCTTCCACTTTGAGCCTTATACTTTAAACATCGGGTATAACGTGCAAATATGTCTATGAAGTTAAAAAATAATAGAGACAAATTATATTTCAATGCATAAAAAAACAACAAAAAGTAATCATCAACCAAGAAAGATAACTTCGTTAACTTATAGCCCCTTCCTTGTGTATTTCCTTTCTAGATTTTTTTTTTTTTAGCTTAGAACGGTGTAAGATCAAATAATGAAATACAGGTGAATTAAATTATGAAGCACCAATTTTCAAAATAAGTGGGAAAATCAGAATCTGAAATCTCGGTTTTTTTTTTACCTGAGTCTGGCATCAGGAAGATAGGTGAAAATGAAAAACGTAGATACTGCCAAAATTTGAGCTAAAATACGCATAGAATAATTTAAAAATTTAAAGGCTTCATTTTTATTAAAAATTTTGGGTTTATTTTACACCTAATAGCTAATGCTAATCTGTATGAAAAGAAAAATAAATTTCCGTATGTAAAGTTCATAGACATTTTTACATTGAAATAGTTTCACGTTCCACTCATCGAACCGCTATTATAGACGGAAAATGTAAAAAACAAATTTAAAAATCTCTTAAAAATCCAATATTTGTCATAGATATGTATTTCAAAGTAAATTAGTAAATTTAAGGATGAACTAACCAGATTTTGTAAAAAGTAATGGTTACTTTTTGCTTAAAAACATCATGTCAACGTTTAAATGGTAGATAACTCCGAAGATACAGTAGTTTCGTTACGCCACGGCTATCCCTGACACTTGAAAAAAAAACTACAGAAATACGGAACACAATAGTACAATAATCAAGAAATTTGTGTGGTTTAGTTAGTCTATGCTTAAAAATAAATTAACTTTAGTTTTTAGCCTTACATAACCAATAAGAATATATTTTTAGGCTTTTATGACACTTCGTAGAATTAATTTCATTTTTCATACTAAGTATAAAAGAGGAAATCAAGTTAAAACTAGTTTTTTAAAATGATTCAGATTTAGAATACTTCGGAGTTTTTAATTTAATTCATTGCTTTTTTAAAAATTTTATTATTTTCTTACCTGTTTGATGTCATAAATTATTTAATTGCACCCAATAAAGTTTATTATGCTACAAAAGTGCTGAGAAAAATAAGTGTGGATTGAAAACTCAAGAGGAAAGCGACTCAATTTTTTTCCTATTTGATCTTCCATACAAACAAAAAACAGAAAATAATCTAAATTGTTACAATGAAAAATAAAATAAAATTCTTTTAAAAATATTTCTAGTGTGAAAATCTCATCAAACTTTTTGATTCCTCAAACTTCTTTTATTAATTAATAGGTAAAAAATTCTTTTGCAATCAAGCAACAGGAAGAATTTCAAAATCGTACTGAAAAATTACAAGTAAATTTTTTAAAAATAAATATTTATTGTAGATTTTTTCTACCGTCAAATTTGAAATAAAAACGTTGTATCTTAAATTCTTAATGCAAATACCAATCTCAACAAAAACTACTTTGAGGACAAACAAAAAAAACTTACTGATTTGCTACTGCAAAAGATTTTTACTGAAATAATCTCCATGGGTTTTTCTTTCTATATAAAAACTACTTTTAAAAAAAGTATTTGTTGTCCGTTCCAATTTTACAAGTCAAAATGTTGCAGACTCATCACCGCAAATATTTCTAAAAAGTTTTCTAATAAATTAAAATCCATTCATTAAACAAGTGCTGAATATTTAATTCAGATTGATTTTTTGGTATACAATTTTTAAAACATGAGGTAGCGAGCGATGTTTTTTGCTTATAGGATTTATTTTCAGCAAGTAAAAAATGAAAATGCATGGATTTAGTTGATGATACCTACAGTGAAACAGTTTCAACCATGACGATGGCTAGTGGTTAATCTTTAGTTTAATATTCACAAACAGTGGTATGACTTGAAGATATGAAAATTAAATAAATTTAGAATTTAAAAAGAATTCTAAATAAATAAAAACAGCGACTGTGATTTTTATTGAAGATGATGTTATTATTTTAATTTTAAAAATACAAAAACCCGAAGAATATTCATTATGAGTTGACACTATATAATTAGAGATAATTAAAGTAAAGATTAAGGATTTGAAAACTTAAGTTTGTTTCAATTTTTTTACGTTTCCAATACCCGTGTACATTGTAAAAACAAAAATGTAATCTTACAAGATGTTGCGTAGAATCTTTTCCGATTAAAAAGTTCTTTTTTTTGTACTTTCTTATAATCTTTGCTGCCAGAAGACAAGAGCCTGATCGGTAAGAAATAATACTTCGATTAGGAAATTGATTCTGACGACCCATTATCATTTTCCTAATTTTTTTTTTGAAAAATGATACACAACTTTCAATTTTAACTCCGTCAGTTAAAGAGCTGCGAGTTATCTGCCCTTGAAATAATAATAATCTCTGTCCTACCTGGTTCAGTACTGAGGTGCAAAATTTACTAATTTATGCCTATTCAAAGCTTGTAGAATTATTACCCAAAAAGAATTTCTTAATGTGAATTTTTCAATGTCTCTCTCGTAAACAAAAATGATAAAATTAAACACAACAACCGAATGTTTCATAATTTATTTTTTTGTTTGTCTATGTCAGATTGATGTACAATTGAATAAAAAGTCTACTTTTTAGAGTGTACTCAATGTACTGCCTACCAAGTTATAATCTGACTTTCTTATTTCAGATATACATATAAATATTTCGGTCATTATGCTGGTAAATTTAATAAAAATATGTCCAAGATTAAGTGAATCGTGAATGTCAAAAGAAAGATTAAAAAGGGTGATATTGTTCAACGTCATTGATATTTTTAATTAAAAGAAAGAATTACGAGGGAAAATTGCTATCGCGATGGTTTTTTATTTTTGAAGAACAAATCTCCGAATAATAACTCAAACTTTTTTTTAGTTTTACTTTTAAGTAAGAGAATGATTTTTTTTAAGTCAGACATTGCTTTTTTTAGTAGTTTTTTACCGTTTTTACGTGAAAAATGTTAGGGGTTTTAAGATCACCTTAAAATTAGAATTAATTATTAATAAATTACTTTATTTTAATTGAGTCTTCTGTCAAAAGTTAATAAGATTTTAATTCTGAACAATATTTCTCTTGATGTTGCTAAAAATATTATCCAATCAGAGGACAGCATTTTGTTAATCCGCAATAACCGGAAGTTTTAATCAGTGGTTCCAACAGCGTGAGCATACACCACTCAATAAATTTTTAAGTTTTGTAGGAAAAATACCCGAACATCATCAAAAATGGCCAGATTTAAACAAAAGAAAGAAAGAAAAACAACTGATCGTATTAATAAATCAAATCACAGCATGAATATTGGTAAGTAATTTTTGTGTTGTGTTGAGTTGCACATAATCTTGTCGTATATGCAACCCCACGTGTTTATTATTTCGCTGTAACTTTCTGATCACGAATAAAAAAAAAATGACAGTAAGTTGTGGAGAACCATGATCGCTTAGCTCTTGAAGAGACACGGTGCATAAAAATAGATGTTGTTTAATTCCAAAATTGATTCACATTTTTTTCCCTTTTATTTTCATTTTCTGATTAAGGCTAAAGCAGTTGAAGTTCAACAATATCGTCCGATTCACACTTCACCCCGATCTTTTGAACAGGAATAGAGGTTTCCCTTGTTCATATTTGTTTAGGATTGTGTTTTCAGTTCTTTCTAAAGTCTTTTATATCCCCGTCCTGAAAATTTAATTTCTCGAAATTTCATGAAATAAAGTAAGTAAGTGGGTAGTAACATATGTAAAAAAAAAAAAAATTACCAAGATTTTATATAAAAAAAAAAAATTTCAAAAATAACTTATTCCATTTCTGAATATGTCCTGAAAGTTTCATTAAAATCCGACAATTATTTGATTTTTGCAAGAATTTTCAAATTGTTTCACTGCCGGAAAAAGCGCAAAAAAACTAACCTTTATCATTGGTTCGGCGCTGACGTAAACAAAACAAGATTTTTAACCAAAATTTCTAACGTGCTAGAAAGGATTAATGATTTTTTAAAAAATAATAAAAAAAAATATTTTGGTCTTTCCTCTTCTTAATAATAACATGAACATTTTGATGACAATACTTTGTTTTTATTGAGTTTGGGGCCTTTTTTCATCATGCTATACATTTTTTTTCCGCGAAAAAGTGAAGGTACCCAATTTTAATCCTCTTTCCCTCTCAGTATCCCTGTGTGTGTTTTACAATTTTTATTTTATTTAAATGACCTCCCAATATGAACCCTCAAGAGCCACGTATTACTGAATAGGGTTGTTGTAATAAAGATGTAACTGAAGAAGAAGGAAGAAGTGCATGAAGATGTGTAGGATAGATAATGGTTGATCCCAGACTTGAAGAGGTTAAGAGTAAGATTGTAATAGTGATCAGGGAAGCATCCTGTTAGGAGTTTGTTTTTGTGCATTGTAACAATTCTGAAAAAACTGAGTGGAACTTCCTCTTTACTAATGGAATACAGAAGAAGTACACACTGTATTTAACATGATGGTTCCTAGCTATGAAGGTCTGGACTGGTGGAACTAAAAAATATAGCTCATCTGACTATCTGCCATAAAAATAGTGACTGGCTTGCAACTTTCTGTCTGTGTGAAAGAGGTGGTAAGGTGAGAAATAATTCTTCCATAAAATCACTTAAATTCCTTTAAGCTGTGTCATGGTTGGAAAGTGAGGATTGGGCAACTCCAGCCCGCCCAGATATATCCAGAATGATCCATTTTTGGTCTGATCTGGCTCTTGTAATGCTGGAGCATAGTAGGAGTTTAATAATTTCTGGAGCAGTACAGGGAACCAACCAATTTTCTAGCATTTTTAGCAGTGGATCATGTATTTGATTTCTACTTGAGGTCTGGAGCAAACTTTAATCCAAATAGGCTTTTCCGGTCAAAGAGCTTCAGTAAGAATACAACTTTTCATCAGCACTGGAAAAAACTTGGGTTCTGTTCTATGATGATGAAATGTTGCCAGCTTGAATTTGGATGTATTGAATGTTACAAGTTTGTTCCTCTCCCATTGAGCTGTGAGAGCAAGGTCAAAGGATAGATCAACTGCGAGATTCTAGTCATCTAGATTTTTGGAGGTACACCCATAAACTGTGGTATTGTTTGCATATGTATTTACTAGTGATCTGAGAGTGTTCTTAATATAAACTAGAAAGATAATAAAACCAAGAAAAGAGCCTTGAGGATACCAGCATTGACCTGGCTATTAGTAAAAACAAGGTGGAATAATAATGGCATTGCTAGAACTTTAAGTTTGGTCTGATAAAAAATAATGAGCTAATAAAAAATTAAAAATGATCTAATAAAAAATTAAAAATGATCTAATAAAAAACAGTGAAAAAAAAAGTAATGATCTAATAAAATGACCTAATAAAAAAAATTAAGATGATCTAATAAAAAAACATTAAAAAAAAGTAATGGTATGATAATAACTTTGTCTTTCACCCCACTGAGGATCTGCAAGTGATGTAATGGATAGTGGCTCAGAATAAGAAATCAGAGAGCTGAGTTCAAATCCCAGTTGAGTTCATTACATTCACTTACACACAAATACCCTTTGGAAAGGTATGAATTCATCTCCTCCTTTCACTTGTGGGTTAAATAGTAGAACTTATATTTGGAAACATCATTGTTATTCTCAAAAAAAGAATTGTCAATGCAATATTCACTCATAAAAAAGAATTATTCTTACAATTAAAAATACATTCCGGCTAACCCACAAAGAGTTGTTCAGCTGTAAAAATCAAATCAGTCAATCAATTCACCCCACCTAAGTCTTAGTTTCTAAAACTTCTGTAAAAATTGCTTTTATTTTATTTATTTTTTTTACTGCTGTTTACTCAATATAAGGCCCAAAAGACACTCAATATAAATGGTTACTAAATGAGATTGTTGTAAGTATGGAAAGAGAAGATGAAGAGGCGAATATTATGAGGCTATGTAGGATAGATATCAGTTGACTCTAGACTTGAAGAGGTTAAGATTGCAGTAGTTGAGAAAGCATCCTCTCTGGATTATTATTTTAAACTGAGAAATTATAAAATTATAAAGACATTCACTCCTAAGGTAAACATTAAATTGTCAGTCATAGATAATATATATATATATATAAATATATATAAGTATATATATATATATATATATATATGATGGTCGCATGAAACCTAGGGTGTGTGAAAAGTATATATATATATATATATATATAAATATATATATTGTTAGAAAATGTTTCCTGTAAGCATTTTTTAAAAGTACAAGTGGTGTAATTGTTATTGAGGGGGGGAATTAGAAGGCTGAGTTCAAATTCTGGCCAAGCACTCATTTTTTGCACTATTTTAAGAAAGTTTCCCATCTCCTCATATGGGCAAATGTCCTGGAGAATGACAACATTGAATTAAAAACTGGAGACATTAACGGAAACATTTTTATGGGTGTTTTTTAAAGAGAAGGAAGCTTTTTTTTTTAGACATGGCATTTAAACAAAAAAGAAGATAATTGAGAGAATAGACTACAGCTAAAGCAATACCTACATCTCATATACCTTTTTGGATTCGCCTTGACAGCAGCCCATTTTCAGGTTTTTTTTTTTTTTTTCTGCAACTGCTCTTTCAATAAATCCTATGGATATTTCTGCTTTTCATGAGACAATTCTATTCTAGTATTTGAAGCATCTTGCTCTTATATCATGTTATCTGTTTGTATATTATGATCAACTCTTTCCAATGTTATAAAGCTGAAAAATTACAATCAAAGACTTAAACAAAAGAAATTATTTGTAAAAGAATATTAAAATGCAAAAAGGTTGAAAAAATGTGAAACAAATTGAAAAATATAAATTTTAAAAAAAAAACAGAACTCCTTGAAAATTTGGTTTAGGGAAAACAACAAAAAATTGATATTTAAAATTAAAGAAGTAATCAATTAAGTAATCTTTTAATATGGAAAATTTGTTGGATAGATGTAGTTTTTTGACCTGGTTTTCGCAAGTGATTAAAATCATTATGATAAAATTAATGTCACAAAACTTATATATTTTTGTTTATATGATATACACTTTTCACATATATATTAAATGGAGTCAATCTGACTAAAATATTTTCTGTTTATATGTTTTATAGATACAATGTAAAGTTATTGTATTAATTAAAAAGGTTAGAAAATATCAAGAAAATATGCAAAATTTTTATTCTTATATAGAAACCATTTTTGACCTTTTTTTTCTAAGTTAAATTAATTAAAAACAGAACATTTATTTAAATACATTGTATCTAGAAAACAGAAAATATATATACATATCATTTTTTTTAATCAACTTCACCCCATTTAAAAACTCAAGGGTTACTGCAGAAACATTAAGGTGTGGGACCAGCAGAAGAGTAATTAAGATAACAGTAGAAATGGTTTTTTAAATTTTGAATATCAGATGTGTTCAGGAAATTAACAGATGTGAAAAGTTTTTGACCCTAGACAATCAATTGTAAAAATTCATGAGACCTTGTTGCCAATCTAGTACTGCACTTGAATTCATAAAGTCTAGGTACCATAGTGAAGAGCTCACCCAAATAATTATCATGAAAGCATTTATACAAAAGACACAAAAAAAGCAACTTATGGCAGTAAATCAACACCAGGTGAGAGCATTAATACTGATTCTTTGGATTTTATCATTCTAAATATATAGAGATCAATTTGTGACAGCAAGACAATTATAACTTGAACCAACTAGCAGCTATGTGCAGTCTTTCCACAGATGTTGGCTGAGATATTCAAAATCAGCCATTCAAAAGAGCAAAAGTCATTTTCATTTAAATTAATGCCATTCTTTTTGCTCCAGTTAACAACAGGCTTATCATTTTTTTTAGGACAGCTCATTTTTTATCGATCTGATCAGACTTTTATATATAGGGTGCGATGAGTAAATTGTTACCATTTTATATTTTTAATTTTGTGCATCATGTTGTTTCTTTATTAATTTGTCAAATGCACAGTATAGTAGGGTCAATTGGGCACCATCTGTGCAAGAAAGAGTACCATGCCACAATTCACTCAGCCAGAAATTTGAAAACAGCATGCTGTATTGCACATTCATGCTAGAAAAACAAACATTTCAGTGTTTGGATGTCAATCTGAGGACAGTGCAGAGGATTTGGAAAATGTTGGATGATATACCTAGTGAATATCATGGTGTTTGGAGTGATCACTAGTGATGGCGTTATGCCTCCATTCATCTTCTCACAGGACCTCAGATTCAAAATGGAGACCTGCATCATGCCTGGAGGAGGTAGTGCTGCCTTAAGAGTGTGGCTGCTGAAAGACCCTATGTCTGGCAACAGGAGTTTGCACCATGCCACATAAGAAGAAATCCAGTGATAGCTGTCAAAAAATTTCTGTGGCCACATCACCCTTTACATCTGGCCACCTAACTCCCCAGACTGGAAACATGTATGGGTGATGATGTTGAACTGAAGGCAAGGATTATGGCAGCATTCACCAACAAAACAAGGAGACTGTCTAGAAGAAAGAAAATATATATATTAATTCCCCCCAAAGAAGATAGTTTGCAATGCACTGGTTCTCATAATTGGACATTTCAAACAAAATTCTCTAGCTATCTCAAGAGTAATGGTAATATTTGTTGTTTCATTTGGCATTCATTTACAATGCAGTAAGTATTCCTTTTGGTTGAAATTTATAAAATCTGTCTTTTAAAACAATTTTTCAGGAAAACAGGTCCTCAAGTCCAGTAGCAAAATAAGTGGGGGATTTTCCTTCATTTTATTTAGATCAACAACATCTTGATTATGCCATTTTTTCTCTTTTGAGTTACATGTGATATCCATTTTAGTTGTTGTGGTTGATCCTTCTCAAGTTATGTGGTTTCTGTTTTCTGGTGCAGTTTTTTGTTTGTGATTCTGTAGCATCAATCCACAAATTTCGAAGGCTTCACTTGCTAAAAGCCATTTATAACCATTGATCTTAGAAAGCATTTGTATACAGCTGACAGTTTAGATTCGGTTTGGTATTATGCCTGATATATGAAAATCTCAATCTGATTAGGCTATTTAAGAACATGCATTTTCAGGATTATGTTTTGGTTTTATAGCAATTTGCTGTATTAGCAAAACTACATTTAGCCCAGCTTATTCTATGTTCAATTTCCTTTTCTCCTGTATTAAATCTGTTATAACTGATCCATAGACAAAAATTAATAAGGTAAGGTGCTAATAAACTTCAGTGAGGTGGGAAAAATCAAAAAATTAACAAGTGATGGTGGAAGGTGGGGGCAGATGTTTATTTGGCACCCAAGAGTAATTTTGTTTGCCATACTGAACTTTTTACATGGAAACATTTTACTTTTTTTAGATCGACCCAAAGCAGATGCCCACGGTGGTCATAACATGAGGGACCGGGCCACAATCAAACGTCTTCAAATGTATAGAAATTATAAAGCAAAAAGGTAAGACTTAATAATTTGAGTTTGGTTTCCAGTGATACAACTTAAATGGAAAATGAGTTGATAAAATTCGCTGCTTTTTGTTTATTGAGCCTAAAATTAAAGATTTTGAAATGTAAAAAATGCAAGAAATTATTTATGCTGCTTATAGAGAAGGTTTTGTAAATAATCAGATGTGTTGAAATTAGTTTTTAATATTTCATGTTAGAGCATTCTTCACTGTCGAGTAAATCAACTGACATTAATACTGATTGAGATCAAAGCAAGACAATTATCAGCTTTATATGTCAGTGATGGCTGAGATATTCAAAATTTCAAAGAGCAAAAATCATTTTCATCAGCTTCGTTATGTTAGTCATTTTGATGTGTGGCTTCCACATAAGGAAAAATCATTTGGATCAACTAGATTTTCTTAGTCACTTTCATGTGTGGTTCCCATGTAAGGAAAAAACTAATTTGTATTAGTTAATTACTTTGATGTATGGTTTCTACATAAGGGAAAAATCATTTTCATCAGCTTGGTTAAACTAGTCATTTTGATGTTTGACTTCCATATAAGTTAGTTTTGAA